TCTGCCATGCTTTTGAGCCACCAAATCACTAACAGGCTGCTCTAAGGAATATACCCTTCCTGCCCTGCCAACGCCCCCATATTCCTAATTCAACATTTGGATATTTTTACAACGTATATTCAGTTTGAAAGATAATACTGATACCTTATTTTGTATGAACATTTATACACCAGGACCCTTGTGAAGCACTGACTTCATTGGGATACTTTATGGCTTAATACAGCTGAATGATTTATATCTCATTTTGTCTAAGCATTTATGCTAATAAATTTAACAGATTTCCCCAGTACTGCCTGGTCCTTCGTTTTCTTCAGAGGGTCAAAGTGAGAGGAAAATAAAGCAGTGTGTTACTAAAGAAAGAAGGAAGAAATTGGCCTAACCAATTTAGAACACAAATAAAATTACAACAAGTAAAATCTCTGATTACAGTTAAGCTGGAGCAACAGACAAAAAAGTTCCTAGATCCAGATAGATTTCTGTAATTAAGCGGTTTCTCAAAAGCAGAATCACAAAATGACAGAATATTTAGCAAGCTAATTTACTAAGGAATATTTTGGTCCCATATAATTATAATCCAATGCTTAAGAAAAAACACTGAGAAAAAACTGACAACTATTAAACTGAGTGCAGTCGGGAGAGGGAAAGGGGTAAGATAAAATCCAGTCTATAAAATATATTCCATTATCTTTTATAGGTTAAAGAAACACAAAAGAATACTTGGAAAGAATCTTCTAAGATGGAAAGATTTTAAGATTGTGTAGGGATTTTTTTTTTTTTTACAGGTGCAGAATATAAGTTGGTTTTTTTTTTTTTCTTGGTTTTTTTCTTTTCCCCATTTTTTCCCCTGTTGTTTGCAAAGTTGAATCTGGGGTCAGGAGTTCTAATTGTAACCTCAGACTGGAATTCCAGATGGTGCGCTTAGGACTGGGAGCAACTCTCAGTTCATCAATTTCATGGCCTACGTATCTGCTCCGGCCGCGGCCCGGCCTCCATCCCCACTGTGGCATTAATGCAGAACAAATTGAGACATATCCTCTATATAATTAGTTCCAGAATTTAAAAAGATTTACGGTATAATAATAGAGGCAGCGCTGCGGAATTCTTTCAACGGGGACTCTCTGGGAGCTTGGGGACCATCTCGAGGTGGCATCAGAACAAACGGGTAAACTCTGGCGGTTCCAGGCACTGCAAGCTGGGGCAGAGGGAAAATTTTGCAGCGCCCAGGCGGCGGTGCTCGCCGGTCCTGAACCCCCAAACTGGGTCAGAGAACGGAGTTCGTACTGTAGACGAGAGGTTGTTCAAAAAGATCGAGTTATTTTTCAAATGAGCAGAGGAACCCAGAGTGGGGGGACAAAACGGGGGTACGCTCTAACAAAAGTCCCTCCCGTACTTTTTTTTTTTTTTTTAAATTTAAAGAAATGAAGCTGGGGTTTCTACTGCCAGTACGGGCCTGGAAACCGGCCTAAGCCCCTGTCCAGAGGTCAGGTAAGCAGAAACCCAAGAGTTGGAATGGGGAGGGAGGGGAGGAGCCCCGATTAGGCTGCTGGTCCTGCGCGTGGAGCTCCGGGCTCTAGCCCCTGCGCGAGGTGCTAATCGAGCGCCCCTTCCTCCTGGGCGTCTGGCGGTGGAGCCACTCCTCTTCTGCGTCTTCGGCCCCAGCCCTTGACAGATCGCAGCGCTTCGGAGTGTTTATTCAGTTGTCGGCAGCCGCGGGGTGACGCCCGGAGCGCAGCCCAGGAGTACGCCCTGCTCCCTGGGGCGGCGGCTGCAGGGCCGGGCTCGGTCCTTGGTCAGATTCAGTTGACAGCGCCGGGGTCAAAGGGGCGGGGGGGGGGAGCGGTGGCGGTTAGAGGTCGTCAGTACCCTCTACCACTCTGCGGCGATTTTTTGATCTCTCAATAATTAAGCACCTTCCAGACCAGGATGCCTTTTACCAATGTATCAGAGCCACATGGGTTTTTAACGTCTCTCTCTCCCTCTTTTCTTTACACCCCATTCCATTATCTCTACAGAGGCAAAAGGATAGTGGGGGTAAAGCCCCGAGCTAGAAGTTGAGACACCAGGGTTTCAGCTTAGCTTTGCCACTATTTTGCTATGTATCCTTAATAATAGTTACAGTTGTGACGTTTATTGAATGCGTAAACCAACACTATCCTCCGGTCTACTCCCCACGACCCCATGAAGTGGACGCTAGTATTCCATTATCCCGTCTGATTAGTAAGGAAACTGAGGCTCAGAGAGGCTATGGAAGTCCTCTAGGGTTACACAGCTGTTACCTGGTGGACCCGAAATTCCATTCTCTGACCACCAATTCCATCCTCTTAACCATTGAGCTCTACAGCTGCCTTTCCTCCCTCTGCCTGGGCCTCAGTTTCCTTCTCTGTAGACGGGGAGTTGAATTTCCATCTCTGCCAAACGGTGATTCAGACCAGATCCTCTGTGCCACAAGTCTCAGCGCTGACGGCAAGTGGAAGGGTGAATGAGAGAAGGGGCAGCCAGGTCTCCGCCGCCCTCATTTCCTTGGGCCTGGAGCTGCGGAGGGGCAGGAGAGCGCCCACCTGCCGAGGCGGGCAGACTTCCTCCCCGCCCGATTTTCTGTCGCTCCGCCTGGCAGGCTCAGGGCAACGAGGCCAGCGTAGCGGGCGCGTCTGCCTGGGTAACCGCCGAGCTCCCGCAGAGAACGTTACCCGAGGGAAGAAGGGGGACCTCAGTGTGCCGGTTTCCCAGCGTTGGGCCAGGCGCTCCTGGGCTTCCGGGGATGGGGATGGGTGGCGGCATTCGGAGACCTCTGGGCTGCGGCCTTCCGACTTCGAGCGCCTGCCGACGCGCAGCACTCACTTCCCGGCCCCGCGGGTTGCAGGGAACTCCTCCCACCGTTTCGGACTACGAAGTCGGAGCGAGGCGGCACCGCAGGGCTGAAGCGGGGATCGCACTACTGCTCTTCCCTCCCTCTAGGATTCTCAGGCAACAAATGGCGGAGAAGAGAGGAGTCCTAAATGTTCTCGGCCCCCCTTTCCTCTCACTCCACCCCACCCCGCCCCTGAACAAAAACTTTTTTTAAACGTAAAGGCGCAAAATTAAGCACCTCTGCCCTATCTGGGATTCAAAACCACAAAAGCTCACGTTCAAGCCACCTCCCTCCAAAGACCCCCCCAACAAAAAAAACTTTGCAAAGGAGGATAAAAGAGAAACAATCTCGACCTTTTCGTTGGCAAATACAAATCCCTGACTTTTCATAAAGGGCTCTCCATCCCTCGTGGCGCTTCAGTGAATCCTAGTTAAGAAAAACTACTTCGACGTCGAAGTAAAAGTGGTGGGTATGAGACAGGGGTCTGCGGCGTTCTAGGGGCAACTTGGCCTGAGAAGTTTCGTCTCCCGGGGCCTTTCCGCATCAAAAGGACCAAACGCGCATGCCCCTGCCCAGCTCTCCAGCCCAGCCCCCGGTTTCCAGACTGCACCTGTGGGAGCGTAGTGGGCAGCTCACAGAGTGTCGGGGGAGAAGGAGCTGGCCTCCAGAACCTTTTCACTTCTTTAAAAAAAAGATAAAGCTTCTAAGTGGAGACAAGCTCACCCAAGCACCAAAGTAGCGCAAAGAGGGGTGCAGGACCTCGTAGGTGGCTGGGGGAACAAGCGGGTAGCTCGTGTTCCCGACCTTTGCCCTCACGGTCTCCTGCGCCTCTAGGACGAGCGACCCCAAGAGGAGGGAATTTTGTTTGGCGTGTAGGTTCTGAGCCCGCCAACGCCTCGGGTTCGCAGCCGGAACTCGGGTCTACTTATTTACTCAGTGCAAATGAACTAAAACCAAAGCGCAAGAAAATGAAGAGCATGCCAAGGCTTTTCAAACGTTCCGTTTCTTTGTAAAACTGCAACTACCATGGTTGTCGCTTCGCATAGGGCTTGGCGGAGAGCTGCGGGCCCTTCCGCGGCCAGCCTGGACTAAGAGGCCTGGCGGCCACTGGCCGCTGCCCGTCCGCGCTCTTGGCCGGTCCAGGCTGCGCCGTCGCCGCTGCCCCCTGGCTCTCCTGGGCGTTTCCACGCGCCCCGAAACGCACTCGAACCCGGGTTCCCAGCGCTTCTCCTTGCCTAGGATCCGCATCGCCCTAAATCCTGACTACTGAGGAAGAACCGAAACAAAACCTCAAACACCTGCCCCGAGGCGCGGGGCTCCCATAGAGTGACTAGGTAGAGAGAGGAGTCTGATGTTTCGAAGCCCGGCGCTCCGAGCTCCCAATGGAGCGAACACTCCCCTGGACCGTGGGCCACCGAGGGCTTTCCTTCATGGTCCTCCTAACTGGTTTGCGTCCCCTTATCAGTCACTGCTTATCCAGAACGGTATTCTCGACCGTGAGCGGAGGCCGAGCTCGGCGGCATTGGCTGCAGGAGCCAAACCTCTCCCCAGGGGCTTGGACTTCGAATCCTCCCCACCTCTCACCCTCCAACCTGGGCTCCAGGATTCTGCGGTCGGAATGTGTGCAGGCTCTGGGTGTTCCCCTAAAGGTTTCCTTCCCTCCCAAACTAGCCGCTGTTTTCCCGGCTTCACCGAAGAAGAGTTAAATATCTCTCGCTAGAAAAGGAGATTAAGTGCCGCTGACACCAATTTTTAGGCAGGCGACAACTGCCCTCGTCTGGGCACAAACCTCATCAAGTAACCAACTACCAGACGATCGAAATACGCCATTTATCACAGCTGATGCACCGCGCCCCCCCAGGTCACCCACGTTCACCTTGAGTCTGGCCTCTGGAACCCATAAAGTGTCACCCCCATCCCAGTGAACCTGAGATTACGGCCACCAGTCCTGCCAGGCGGCTCTAGAAGCAAGAGCCGGACTTTCGGGCTCAGAGCAAAGGAATTCTCTTTGAAGCCCGGGAAAGTTTTCAGTGCTTTCCTGAAGTTCCCGCCCCCGTGGAGCTCACCTGCCCCTCCCTTGAACCCGCCCTCTCAGTTTAACAACCCCATCCGCCCCCCATCACACAGGGATGTGGGGACATTCACTGCTCACCTGGAGAGACTCGCCAGGGCCCAGAGGCGCCCACACTTGCGAAGGCCGAGAAGGGGAGGTGGGGGGTGGGCTGGGTCCCGCAGGCCAGCTGAGAGCGCGTGGCGGGTAGGAGAGGAGGGTGTCTCCCAGAGGTACGCTCCCTCGGGCCCGCCCCCACCCCCGCGGCGAGGGCGCCCCCTCCGAGCCGCGCGCGCTGCCTGGCTGGGCTTAGGCTGCGGTGTGAATGGAGCGGCCGAGGCTCCTGGCTCCTCCTCCTCCCCCGCCGCCGGCCCCTCTTATTTGAGCTTTGGGAAGCTGGGGGCAGCCAGGCAGCTGGGGTAAGGAGTTCAAGGCAGCGCCCACACCCGGGGGCTCTCCGCAACCCGACGGTCTGTCCGCTCCCCCCTTCCCCCCCGCCCTCCCACTCATTCACTCACCCACCCACCCAGAGCCGGGACGGCAGCCCAGGAGCCGGGGCCCCGCCGCCTCCTTGCCGCGATCCTGGACTTCCTCCTGCCGCAGGAGCCGGCTTCCACGTGTGCCCCGGAGCCGGCGTCTTCTCACTCGCTCCGCTCCGGCTCTGGGTGCCTTCAGCAGCCCGAGCAGCCGGGGCTCCGGGGCCCAGGCTGCCTCTGGGCCAAGTTAGGTGCGGCCGAGTCCAGCGCCGAGCGTCTGCAAGGCCGAAGGAGCCGCGGGGCGTCCGGGGCTGAGCCGCAGCAAATGGGCTCTGACGTGCGGGACCTGAATGCGCTGCTGCCGGCGGTACCCTCGCTGGGTGGCGGCGGTGGCTGCGCCCTGCCCGTGAGCGGCGCCGCACAGTGGGCGCCCGTGCTGGATTTTGCACCCCCGGGCGCCTCGGCTTACGGTTCGCTGGGCGGTCCTGCGCCGCCGCCGGCTCCGCCGCCACCCCCGCCGCCGCCGCCGCCGCCTCACTCCTTCATCAAACAGGAGCCGAGCTGGGGCGGCGCGGAGCCGCACGAGGAGCAGTGCTTGAGCGCCTTCACCGTGCATTTCTCCGGCCAGTTCACCGGCACAGCTGGAGCCTGTCGCTACGGTCCCTTCGGTCCTCCTCCGCCCAGCCAGGCGTCCTCCGGCCAGGCCAGGATGTTCCCTAACGCGCCCTACCTGCCCAGCTGTCTCGAGAGCCAGCCCGCTATTCGCAACCAGGGTAAGCGGGCCGGGGGAGCGCCCCCTACACGCGGGGTGGCGCCGGGGCTGCCGCCGCGCTCTGGCATTCCCCTGCCCTATCCCTTCCCTGACCCCGGCTCTTAACCGGCTGTCCCCCCCCCCCC